CAAGGTGGCTCCTTTGTTGTCTTTCGCTGGTTATATTGTCAAGAGACAAAACTGCCCATTGCCCAAAGCTTGATGACAAATCAATGAAAAGCCTCGAAGTGTATGAAAGACAAGAAAGTTACTTGTTTTGTTTTTTTAATGAGGCAACTTAATGCAATAAAAGTGATTTGATAATATGTCTCAACTTAGCTTACCAAAATTTGCATAAACATTACACTGGTCCTATAGCGAAAGAGAGTTTTGGTCCATGATCTTAAAATTCACTACAAGGTGTTCTGCGTGCTAAAGTCAAAACTTGAAGTCAAAAACTCTGACGCAATTGTCATCCCCACAAGAAGTTAACCTATGCAAACTCTCATTAGACTCGCACTTCTCGGTTGGTCTCCAAGCTAACCGGTTCACGGCCGAGACATGACACATGAATGGTTCCAGCCGCAGAGCAAGAGCTGCTGTTGCAGTCGTACCTTCATCTTTTTCTATAATATTTATGTTCCACAGCTCTATCAGTCCGCTTTCCATCCCAACGGCCACACACCCGCTCTTCCCCTTGTGGTATAATCCCGTCCAAGCCACAGCTGTGACACTGCTCCCAAACTGAGGCAAGGCAAGAATCTGTTTGATGCGAGCGTCACTCTCGATAGACCAGATTTTTACAGTCTTGTCCCTTGATGAAGTTGCAAATTGGTGGCCAAATGGGTTCCATGAACATGCCCAAATGATCCTCTTGTGTGCTTCAACCTTTGCCATGAGTTTGTGACTAACCTCGCCATTGTCTGAACAAGAAGGAAAAATAGACAAAGAGATGTTCAAAACGTAGACACATTTGGATGTTTTGAAAAAAATCTGATTTTTAACTGTAAAGTTGAAACGGCTTGGGTTACCTGTCCTTTGGATCGAGAAAATGGAGAAGTGACGATCTCTTGAAACAGACAGGAGCAGAGTGTCATCATAAGAGAACTCCAAGTGTGTCACCGTCAAGCTGTGAGATTGCAAACGAGCAACAGCTTTCCATGTTCCAACCTCCCATAGCCATATCTCTGCCATGGATGCAGATTGAGCCTGAAGAAGTTTGTGATTCATAAATAAAAAAAACAATTTAGTAATGGAATCTTGCTCGGTTAGATCTAAAATCTAAATCGGTGATTGAACAAGTGTAAAAAAAAAATCTGAAAACTGCATTAGCTTACCTTACACGAGGAAGCAACAAGGTTTCCCTTGTGGTCACAGCAGAGAGAAAAGAGTTCATTACCATGACCATAGAGTTTATGAGATTCCGGCCATAAAGTATGAAATGCAAGCTGCTCTTCGATTGGAGGCTCTTTCAACTCCGCTGGAGCCGCCTCTGGAACTGTCTCAAATGTATCTAGACCTTCGCCTCCGCCATTTCTCTCCAGCGGTTCACTAGAAGCTGCAAAAAGAAATTAATAGGTTTCTCAAGATTGCTTTTGGTAAAAGCTAGAAAAAATGGTGTTGAATCAATCAATCACTTACAGTGTAAGTAGATAGGTTTCTGTGATAATCCAAGAGCAGACATATTCGCTCCAAGAACCTGCACATCTGCTTGTAAATCCTCAGGGAAGCTTCCTTCTCCTCCCGCACAAGTGTGGTTCAGAGTCTTCAAGAACGACAGAGGAGCCTCAAATACTCTCACAACTTTCTCCTCAGCCCCACTAACAAAACGGTGGTTTCCTTTACCTTGAACCATAGCCACACAGTTAATATCATGCCCGTGAACCTGAGGACGAGCCAGTTCATGCCAATGCTCATCATCTGCTTCAATATCCTCATCAATCTTCCATGATGAGAACACTCGAGTGGTCTGTAAAATCGCAAATTTGGAGAATGAAATGTCAGAAAAGTGACTCTTTGCAATCTAATATAACGAATTGTTTTTAACGTCTCAACCCTAAACCCTGACCTGATCGTGGCTCACGGATAGCAAGTACTCGCCGGTTCTAGCCCATGTCACATCAGTCACGGCAGCAAAGTGACCCGAAGGAACTTTCTGCATCTGCCAATTCTCAGACTCTTTGCTGCTACTGACATTTCTCCAGAGATGAAAAGATCCACCGTATCCATGAGCCAGAATCGACAGACCATTTTGGCTCCAATGGCCACCGTAGAAACCAAGAGCACAGTGACTTAGCTCTCCAACACATACAACGTTCACCCACACACCCGTTTTCTTCTCAGGTCGCCAAATCATCATCGTTTTGTCCATAGAAGCTGATAAAATGCTCAGCGGTTGGTGGTTAACTAACCGCCCATCAATGGAATCGATAACTGGAGGTTGCCATTCCACAGAATAGACCCAATCTTCATGTCCAATCAGAACAGATTCGACTGAAATCTGATATGTGGATGTCCCTGAGATGAATACTGGGCCTTCAATGTAAGAAGCTAGAGTGATTTCTCTTTGCCACGAGCCAACATCACCGACTAACACGAGTTTCCAGATCCGAATAACTTTGTCCTGGGAAGAACTCACAAGCATAATACTGTTGGCGGTTTCTTCTGTTGTGTGCAACGGTAATGAGAAGTCCAAACTCCGAATCCAGTCTGTGTGGCCTTTGAGCTCACACACAGAAGTAAACTGAAAAAGGATAAAACCAAAAAACTGTCACAATTGATGTTTTTTTGAGAATATATTGGCACAAAAGCGAATCGGTAAGCACCTTTCCTGTTCTGTCACCACAGTAAAGTTTGATTTTATTGTCCAATCCACCCAACGCGAGGGCAAATCGACCAGGATTTTGAGGCAATTCCGCTAATGAAAGCGTTACAATTGCTTTAGTGTCAACACAAATGGAGTCCAAACACATCACTTTACATTCCTCTGCAACAGATAACACAGAGGAGAAAGAAAATTCGATATAGATACTGCTTAGAAAACATATTTCACTTTGTTTAACCGGTAACATAATACAGGAACGTTAATGCTTACCACTAGACTGAGACGGAAAAGAAACATCCCAAACATTCACAACTCCATCAGATGAAGCAGAAGCAAACATTGCATCGGTTTGAGAAACCATATAAGCGGTGATGCAAGTTACACCTTTCTTGTGAGATACTGGTAGTTGTAGTACATGTCTCCACTGTTGCTAAACAAATCAGAACACAAACTAATGATCAGAGATAATACAGAAACTATAGAGAAACTCAGAGCAAGATTGAGGGAATTTTACATTGTTATGAAGAGTAGATAGTTCCCAGAGGATAATGATACCATCTGAATCACCTGAGAGCAGATAATGCCGGTACAAATTCTTGGCTGCGAACAAATCACAGAACTTTTTAGGAGATGCTACTTCCCTTAACCATGTGATGTCTTTCTCATAAAATATAAAGTCAAAAGTTTTAGAAAAGTTTAATCTTTCACAGCAACTAAACCACCAAACCGATGATACAGACTATAAATAGGAATTTGAATGCCTATGTCTTCTCAATTTACTAAAGAAATGATCTAATAATAATAGCTAAACACAAATTCTTCAGTATAAGTTCTATATTTGATAAAACATCAAAATTATCTTCCTTTGCAATGCAATACCTATGGCGCGATTCAAGATACTGAAACCGCTAAATCAAGAACAAAAACAGTTCCTCATATACCAGAAGAAGCAAAAGGAAGTACCTTTGAAAGCAAACTTGGCACTGGGCAACCAATGAGTGCAATTCACAGAAGCTTTATGACCTGGAAGCGTAGTAACAATCTGGGCAGTCTGAAAAATGGAACACAAAACAAGTAAAAATCATATCTTGCTTTTCAAAGAACAAAAAAGGAGGATTTTGAAAGGGTTGCTCGTAGAAACAAGAGTGAAAGAAACAGACCTTTGGGCAGAAAACAGCAACAGCGTTTTGGGCACCGAAAGAGACGAGACCGGAAGCTCCCCAAGAGACGTTATTGACGACTCTGTTGCATCCTGCTCCTATGAACACTCTCTTCGCCTCGACTTTGGTGTTTTCTGACATCTCTTATCGAAAGGTGACTTTTTGATTGAAGATAAAGCAGGGTGACGAAGTTTCTCTTCTTCGTTCTTGCTGGTGTTAACCAGTAGTATCTACCCGCCGCCGCCGCCGGTAAATCTCGCCGGGAATTAGTAGTAATGCTGAAGAAGATTAAGGGAAAAACGGAAAGAAAGGTTAGAAAAGATCCAACATTTAAATGGGCCGACATGTTTTATTGGTTCAATTGGGCCTAATCCAAAGAAAGCACTGGCGTGCTCAAGTGTTAAAACCAAGAAGCTTGTGTGGTTGAGTTGAGTTTAGGGTTTAGGGCTCATGAATGTTTTTGTTTCTCACTTGTTCATGAATCATTATGCTATATACTAGATGTGTTGTATACCGTAAGGGTACGTAGTATACTAAGTGCGTGGACAAAACCTAAATCAACCACTTTGTAGTTCAAATATTAATACTAACCAAAAGCATCAGCCACCGCCGAAGTTTGGAAGCACAACAACAATGTCACTGCTCGCAGGATCGTCTACTGATTATAATAGGCGGCTCCGAATGAGGAACGTAGAGATCCAATTGAGAAAACAAGAAGGGGGTGTAATCAATGTAATTCTATCTTTCTATCTTTCATCTTTGTCAATTTTACGAGAGGTTGATTAATTCATGTCTCAGAAATTTTGTCCATCCCTGGACTAATATGTGCTAATGGGGTCTCCTAGGGTTTCGAGAACAAAGGTATCCTAGATCAGTTCGGTTGTTCGGCACTGATCGAAGTGGTCTGTACTGATCCGCGGTTCCCTTGTATTGGCATGCACATTGTCAATCTTTATGCTAGGATGGGCCTTCATCGTTACCATTCGCTCCAGGTTTTACTAGTAGTCTCATTGTTTGCTTTCTTTCTTTCATTATCCGCCACAAGATGCATTAATTCTCTCTATTTACCCATATTTTAGGGGAAACACTATCAGTTCCTTCGCGTAGAGAAATACAATGTTACAAAAAATTTTGGTCCTAACAACTACTACATAACTTCGGCGGTGATGGATCCGGCTAACGGTGCCACTCAGTTTTTCCAGTCTAAAATTTCTGAAACATTTCGTAGCGGTGGCAGATTAGATTTAACGTGCTGTGTTGCTGTACTTCGAGGTTTTTTGACCTACATTTATCTTTTTTTTTTTAGATTTTCCAAGTCTTCCCGCTTAACTGATGACATTTTTTATGACATTTATCTTGTATAGGGGATCCGAATGTATTCCCTCCAAAATTGTTCAAGCACGATGATAGCTTGCCTGAGCTGCCCACAGAGAATCCTTTCAGAGATACAAATCGGTTTTACTTGGTGAGATTTGCAGAGTTTTGCTTTCAGGCTGATCTTGCTCAACTAGTTGTTGTAGTGATAATGTTATGATATCGTCTTCGTTTTCTCAGGTGAAGAAGTCAGAGCTGGAAGACAATGTCAATGACTGGATTCGTCTATATTTGGAACTTGCGGTTGCCAGGAAGTCTAGGATGTTCATTGAAGGTGAACATGTCTCCAACTTGGAGATTGTGAAAGTGGCTTTACAAAAAACTAGTAGCCAAGATCCAAACGAGGGACATTTCAACGCCAAGAATACAACCGTCTACATAAGTTACAGGGACACGAGCGAGGCTCGGGTTGGTAAGGATGTTGATCGCATAGCTGTAGTCAGGAGAAGCTTCGATGAGCAGTCGTCATGTTTCAGTCTTGTGGGTCACAATCAGAGCTTAGAAACCATAAGAGAGGCGTGGTTTGGTAATGACGTTGATCGCATCGCAATAGCCGGAAGAAGCTTTGATGAGCAGGCGGCATGTTTCACGCACGTGGGTCAGAACCAGAGCTCAGAAATCATACCAAAAAAGGGTAAGAGTCCCTGTGCGTCTGGCCAGCGTTTAGGTGTCCACAAACCGTGGCTGTTATCTATGTCTAAGATGCGCAAGGCATACCAAAATAGTGGCATTCGCATGGCTCGTCGTCGGCACAAGTGACCTTTGGTTAATTGCTTATATATGTGGGTATTTTGTGGAAAACTTTTAAAAGAAAAAATTTGTCACAAAAATGTACTTTAAGAAACAGTAAAACATCTATAAATTAATAATGTTGATACCATGAAAATCTATTAATTTATCAATTAATTTATAGAGAGATTTTTATAATTTGGAAAGTTTTTCAAAAAAATGTTTAAAAATAAGATTTAATCATGATAATTAGTATCTTATATAATCAATTACAAAGAAAATACATGTAATCTATATTATTAAAGTTGAAGTACCGATCAGATTTACACTAAAGTTTTCAATTGTAATAAAATACACTTAATCGGGTATATCATTTTCGGATCTTTGGGTATGGATAATAAATCGATATTTCTCCAGGAGATTATATAATTTCTGTATTTAATTTTGATTTTCCTAAAATATCTCTACCTAATTTAATATAATATATTTAAAATAATTATTATTTTTCTGTTACATTCTTATGATCATTTTTATATTTTATTTATTTTATTACATTAAAAATAGATTATTTTTTCCGCATATGTTGTAATTTGTATTTTTTTAAATGGACGTATATATCTCAATCGATAAAATAAAAAGGTATGTAAAACAACCCACATCGGCTAGAAATAAATATTATAAAATGATTCATAATCATTATAAATATGACGGATATACTTCAACTTATGAATAATCAGGAAGCTTGATTTCTCAAGCGTCAAAAATTTAAAAAATTTATTTGGTTTAATTCAGTTTTTAGTTGAGCAAACTAAAAGTTTCAAAAAGTTTCAAAATATTATAATATTTAATTTTTTAAAATTTCAAAGTATTATAAATATTGAAACTTTAGAGTATTTAGTTTTAAATATTTTAGATGAAACATCAAATATTAGTCTACTAAATTTTTCTAAGGCAATTTGTTTTTTAAAAAAATATATCCAACTACACAATAACATACAAAGAAATTATACATGTGAAATTCAAAAACATATATGTCATGTTTTTGAACTCAACTAGGATTTTAAACCAGATTACCTATCGGGTCATCGGGTCACTAGGCTAACCGGGTTCGACCACAATCAATTATAATTATATTAACTTTTCGAACATGTGTCATCCGTGTAGTAGCACGAGTTATCCCCTAGTAATTATTATGTATTGAAAGAGAATGCTAACAATTTTTGATATAGTAAAATATTAGTAATAAATTCTAACATAAACTAATGTGTCTATATATACATATATTTTGAAAATTTTACTAATTATTAATTTATAATATCGATGAGACCATATATTTACTAAGGATTTTCTTATTATCTTATTATTTTATCGAAATGTGTCATCCCAACTTGGGACCAAAAAAGTTATTAATATATAGAGATTATTAATTTATCGAGTATTAATTTATAAAGGTTTTAATAAGATAGATATTTATTACAATAATTGAAATTACGGTTAGAAAATGAAAACTAAGCTGTTAACAAAAATTTCATCCTTCGAAAGCCTGAACACCTAAAGCATACATGTGTCACACGTTGTAATTTTGGACTTGGAATAACAAGCCTAAACACGTTATGGTATTTGTAATATGTTTACGTCTTAACAAGTTGAACTGTAGTCAAACGTGGGTATGTGTATGAAATTGATCGTTTAGATTGTAATTAATAAAAAAAAATTAAAAAGTCAGAGATTTACAACTTACAAGCAATATTCTAGCTGAAAACCGTCGACGTGAGAGCATGTCCAATGCAAGTATGTTAGCAAATTTCTTAGTTGTAAAGGGTAAGAAAATAAATCAAAAATATATATTAACCTAAGAAAAATATCTTAGTTAGAAATTTTGATAAAAGTTTTTAGTGCAAGGTGTAGGCAATTGATTGGTTTGAGATTTGTACTTCAAACTTGTTTTCAAAGCAAGTTTTTTAATTATAATTTTAAAAGCTTTGAATTTAGAACTTTACCATTGGAAGCATATGTTTCTTTTTATCTTCAAAAATTTCTTAACTTCATAACTTATATATTTTATAATTACAATAATGCTAAAAAACTTGTTTACAACTTTAGCATTGGGGATGGTCTGAGTACATTACATAAGCCTAGATAACATAAAATCTGGTTTCAGTTAAACAAAAAAAAAAAAAAAAAAAACAATTACGAATTATTAAACTGTGAGATTACAATGTCACTAGAGAGAAGATCCGCGTGTTGCGCGAGATTGTTTGCTATGAATTTTTCCTTAATTATTGTTTATTTGGTATTATATTTTTAAAAATAATGCTTGTATGTAAATTTTGTGTCGTATTTTTTTGACTCTATTTAGATTTTTTTCCATATTCAGATATTATAATCTTATACTGTTAGTTATTCATTTGTGTGGCGCTGTTGTTACTCGTATTCCAGTTAATGTTTTGGTTTTGTTTGGACACATGTATTAATATAGTTAGATTAAAAGCTTTATCTTAAAAGGAAAGTGTGAATTGGAATTGGTGCGCATGGTGTTCCTCAACCCTAAGTCCTCACCCTTTAACAACCTTCCCACCGGACAAGTTGTCACCAATTGACATGTAGGTCATGCGCACCAATAACCTACATGGTGGGCCAAGAGGGCATGTGGGCCAGGAGAGTGCCTACATGTTATATTGGCCCACATGAGAGAGGTTAGGGTCGATGCGCTGCAACACTGTAAGGATGACATATGGCAGGGTGTACCACATGGCGGAAGAATCCCACTGGACGGGTTTTTACAAGAGCTAACATATTTTTCTCGCAAAGTCCGACGAATGATTTATTAAGAGCTAAACATTCAATGTACTCTAGAGAGTACATACCACAATCTCCAAGATTTTCATACGAAGGAGAGTTCTTCTTCACGGTTTTCACATCCATCATTTGTCTACTATTCTTTTGAAATTTCTCATAAATAGCAACGTTAAACAATGCAGGGATCATTCGTCTTAAAGGAAAACAATGAACAGCCATGACATGGTCCGTCACAGTGCTTGAAATGTTATTATAGACATTGATCTTCCCCTGCGATAAATCAATATGCAGAGCCACCCAATGGTGTATATAACACATCTCGTGAGTAACGTACGAGTTCATGTACGTATGTGTCGTTTCTAAAGCAACGATTGATTAAGAGATGCATCTTTTGGTTAACACCTCTTGGTTTAATATAAGTTGAAGTCACGTTGTTGAGAACAAAGGACAGAGATTGTAAACCAATACAAGAGAGATAGTGAGATTAACAATACAAGAGAGAAATAAATAAGAGAAAGAAAGGTAGAGATTGATTCTAATCCTTCTCTTCTCTTAAACAATTTCTTAGAGTTTCAAATTAAAGTTTGCAAGGGTCTTTGTAAGGTGTTAATACAAAGATCGATAGTTGGATCCTCAAGATAGACGCTCATGAAACTACATATACCATTGTAGGGGCGAAATTATGTCTTAGGAGATTGCTAAAGCAAGCCTCTATCATTCTACAATTTGTTTAAAGTTTGAAAAATAAGAAATCATCAAGTCAGTTTTGTGTTCTTACACAATTTATTCTCTTTATTTTTCCAGTTTCTTAAATATTAAAGAGAGTACACGTATTTATTACGTTAGTTTGATTTGCATCTATATTCTAGAAACAAAAATCTAAGACATAATTTTCTTTTGTTATTTTGGAATTGATAGATGGTAAGTTCAAGTGTTTAACCAACAAGCTTGTGTGGGAGTGGCAGATCTAGCCAAACCAAACACGAGGTGCAAAAAGTGTCAAAGAGAAGGATCGAACCCTTGATCTCAATTTTAATCTAGGGCATTCTAACCATTAAGTCACATTAGCCTTATAAATTTGTATACAATATACTTTTATATGGTGCACATGCAGCACCCTCGATCAAGTTGGATCCGCCCCTATTGTGTGGTTGAGTTTAGTTTAGGATTTAGGGTTTATGGTTGTTTTTGTTTTTTCATTTGTTCATGAATCATTACATGTTATATTGCTATATACCTGATGTGTAGTAAATATTAATTATTATTCTTTGGCACATTTTTAGAAAAGAAAATTGTATTATATGCCATGAACAGTGTCATTTCTTCTAAGAAATGCTACTTTCAATCCAATCTTCTAAGAAATGCCAAATGACCAACTTTTAACTCAATAAAATGTCAATTCTATCCCTCACTCAAACTTTCTCTATTTTCTTTCATTTTTTCTCATCTCTTTCTTTCTCTTCTTCTTTCATTTTTTATTTCTTTCTCTTATTCTTTCATCTTTTCTTTCTTCAACAACAAACAAATCTCTCTACAATTCTGGGAGACTAGTTTCGGTGAACCAGTTCCGGTGGACCAGTTTCAATGGACAAATTTTGACAGACCATAACCAGTTTCAGCGGACTAGATCTGACAGAAGAGATATGACAGACCAGTTTCGATGGACCAATTCTGGAGTACCAGATCCGGCAAACTAGTTTCAGCAGATCATAACCAGTTTCAGTGGATCAGATCAAGTAAAGAAGTTACAGCGGATCATAACCAATTCTGATGCACCAGATCTAGTGGACCAGAATCGGTAGACCAAACTTGTACATCCTACAGATCTCTTGAAACCACAAGAAATTGAGCATAAGATAAAACAAATGATGCATCTATGGAAGACATCGTCAATGATCCATCTAGATATACACTTTGGATCACACATTTGTGCGTAGATGGACTAGATCCGGTGGATTAGATCTGATGTCCATTTTTTTGTTTTTTTATTTGTTTTCCATTATACGTATATAGTAAAAGCAAATAATATCGGTAAAAAAAAAAACTCGTCTATTAATTAATGTTCATAATTGATTTATGTCAAATTTTTTGTCTTTTTTTTAGGGTATTTTTATCTTTTTATTTTAAAATAAAAATGAATATGGCATTTTACAAAATACAAAGTTAAAAATGGCAGTTTTAAAAGTTCGAGTTTTGAAAATGGCATTTTACATAAAATTCCCTTTTTTAGAAATCATTAGAATTCAAGAAAGAAAAAAGGAAAAAAGGAAAAAAAAAAAGAGCAATGAGAGATTTTGTAAAGGCCCAATTGAAGCCCGTACGGGTAGTATAAATAAGGGCGTGGACAAAAACTAAATCAACCACTTACAAAAAGTATCGGCCACTCGCTGCCGTCGAAGTTTGGAAGCACAATAACAATGTCACTGCTCGCAGGATCGTCTACTGATTATAATAGACGGCTCCGAATGAGGAACGTACAGATCCAATTGAGAAAACGACAAGCGGATGTAATCGATGTAATTCTATTTTTCTTTCTTTCATCTATGTAATATTAATTCATGTCTCTGAAATTTTGTCCATCCCTGGACTAATATATGCTAATGGGGTCTTCTAGGGTTTCGAGAACAAAGGTATCCTAAATCAGTTCGGTTGTTCGGCACTGATCGAAGTGGTCTGTACTGATCCGCGGTTCCCTTGTATTGGCATGCACATTGTCAATCTTTATGCTAGGATGGGCCTTCATCGTTACTACTTGCTCCAGGTCAACCTTTATGCTAGTAGTCTCATCGTTTGCTTTCTTTCTTTCATTATCCACGACAAGTTGCATTAATTCTCTCTGTTAACCCATATTTCAGGGGAAACACTATCAGTTTCTTCGCGTAGAGAAATACAATGTTTCCAAAAATTTTGGTCCTAACGACTACTACATCACTTCGGCGGTGATGGATCCAGCTAACGGTGCCATTCAGTTTTTCCAGTCTGAAATTGATGAAACAATTCGTAGCCGTGGCAGATTAGATTTAACATGCTGTGTTGCTGTACTTCGAGGTTTTTTAACCTATACATATATCTTTTTTTTTTTATAGATTTTCTAAGTCTTCCCACTTAACTGATCATTTATCTTGTATAGGGGATCCGAATATGTTCCCTCCAAAATCGTTCGAGCACGATGATAACTTGCCTGAGCTGCCCACAGAGAATCCTTTCAGAGATACAAATCGGTTTTACTTGGTAAGTTTTTACAGAGTTTTGCTTTCAGGCTGATCTTGATCAACTAGTTGCTGTAGTGATAATATTATAATATCGTGTGCTTCTTTTTTTTCGTTTTCTCAGGTGAAGAAGTCAGAGCTGGAAGACAATGCCAATGACTGGATTCGTCTATATTTGGAACTTGCGGTTGCCAGGAAGTGTAGGATGTTCATTAAAGGTGAAGATCTCTCCAACTTGGAGATTGTGAAAGTGGCTTTACAAAAAACTAGTAGCCAAGATCCAAACGAGGGACATTTCAACGCCAAGAACACAACTGTCTACATAAGTTACAGGGACACGAGCGAGGCTCGGGTTGGTAAGGATGTTGATCGCATAGCTGTAGTCAGGAGAAGCTTCGATGAGCAGTCTTCATGTTTCAGTCTTGTGGGTCACAATCAGAGCTTAGAAACCATAAGAGAGGTGTGGTTTGGTAATGACGTTGATCGCATCGCAATAGCGGGAAGAAGCTTTCATGAGCAGGAGGCATGTTTCACGCACGTGAGTCAGAACCAGAGCTCAGAAATCATACCAAAAAAGGGTAAGAGTCCCAGTGCGTCTGGCCAGCGTTTAGGTGTCCACAAACCGTGGCTGTTGTCTATTCCTAAGATGCGCAAGGCATACCAAAATAGTGGCATTCGCATGGCTCGTCTTCGGCACAAGTGACAAGACAAGAGCCATTCGTCGTCTGTACAGGAGGAGTCATTTGACTATGTGGATCAGTTGATTAATAAACATGTTGACGTTATTGACGACTCTGTTGCATCCTGCTCCTATGAACACTCTCTTCGCTTCAACTTTGGTGTTTTCCGCCGGTAAATCTCGCCGTGAATTAGTAATGCTGAATAAGATTCAGGGAATAGTGGAGCAGGAGTAAACAAAGGTTAGAAAAGATCCAACATTTAAATGGACCAACATGTTTTATCGATGTAACTGAAACAGAGAGGAAGTTGACTTATGTTTCCAAGTCTGATTCTGCTTTCAAATTCAGGAATCAAGACAAAGAGTTGTAGTAGAAACTGGTAAACTAAAATCCAAAGAAAGCATTGGCAAGTTCAAGTATTTTACCAAGAAGTTTGTGTGGCTGAGTTTGAGTTTAGAGTTTAGGGTTCATGGATCTCTTTGTTTCTTCACTTGTTCGTGAATCCATTACATGCTATAAACTAGTGTTGTAAATGGTATTGCTCGTAGGAACGTATAATGATTATAAGTTGTTCCGAATGCTAAACCGACAAGTTGGTGTAATCAATGTAATTCTTTCTTTCTTTCATGTTGTCAATTTTACGTGAGATTGATTGATTCTTGTCTCTGAAATTTTGTCCATCCTTGGACTAATATGTGCTAATGGGGTCTTCTAGGGGTTTTGATGCCAAAGGTATCACACAGGTTTCAGAAATTATGGATCAGCTCAGGAAATAAAGTTTTCGGTTTAGAAATTATGGATCAGCTCGGGAAAGAAAGTTTTCTTTTGAAAACTAGAGAGAACATGTACATTGGAAACAGAGCTAAGGTGTGTCTAATTTGATTGCTTTTAACAGACCAAATTCATTTTGATTTCATCATATTCTACTCATATCTTCACGATTTGAGTTTAATAAATTAACACTGATTACAAGGTGTCAACTCTGTTTACACAAATTGTTAGTCGTTCTTAATCCTTTAATGTAGTTTGGCTTCAAACCACTTCATTGTCAGTTTTAAAATTACAAAGTCTGTTCAATTTTAGTTTACTTGTTTTGCTTTCCAAATTGGAAAGTCTGTGAGTTTGAGAATTGTAGGGGGACCTAGAATCTCAAGATAGAAGTGAATGTCTTGAGAAGCAGCATAAATGATGAATTTTACAAAGATAAGTTAGTTTTTAGATATTAGAAAATATTAAAATCTGTAATTGAATTTCATATTTAGAAAAAATGACAATTAATTACAATTATTATAGATATATTCACTATACAAATGATATACATAAATTCAAATTTACGATTAATAACCACAATGTTATATTTTAACATCCTATGAAACTAAAGATAATGAATATATATGATGCATACTTATAAACTGAAAACATAAACAAAATTATGGTTATTGCTAAGACATGTTATGAAGTATATCACAAGATTAAATATAACATAAAATTGTTTGATATAAATGAGCTCTTGGACAAAATTCAATTTTACAAAAACTAAAAACATACATAATATAAATATATATATATATATATATATATATATATATATCAGTTATTAATTTATAAGACTATAATTTACATGAGAATTTCAAAAACATTATTATTTTATTATCTTATCAAATTTTATTAATTTTTACACTAGCCTAACTTGTGACCAGCAAAATTTATTAATTTATAATGTTTATTAGTTTATAGAATATTAATTTATAGAGGTTTTGCTTTAATACTTTCTAAGCTTCTTGAGAATATGGTTTCATGCGATATTTCCGAGAAGAACTCGAAGGATATGCCTTATGGTTTCATAAAGGAAGCAAACCATATAGGTTCATTGAAAATATTTGATAATAAGAAGTATATAATCATATTTTGGAAAACAGCCGGAGTGTTAGAAATTTATCTACTAGGTCAATGCTCAAATTTATAAACTTTGCACAATCTTTGCATAGTATTACAGTTTTCTTGTTTTTATGATAAAATATACCACTATTCAATAAATAATCTTGGTAAAATAGATATTCTTTATCTTTATCTATTTTATAACTAATTTTATTTTCTTATTATTTATATGATTTAATAAATTAGTATTTATCAAATTTGCACATAGTAAAAAATTTGTTCTAGATCCACCAGTGGGCATCAATTGTTGTTGTCTGTAAAAGTAGCAATGGTGAAGATATTGGTGTGTAAGGCTATAAAGGATACATTCTTGTGTCTCTAGAAGTGATGCTAATGATAGCCGGGAAGGAGAAGAATAAAAAAGATAGATGTCAATTGAATTGCTATGTGAAGCCACATCACCTTTGAATTGATTTTTACTCTGTGGATATGGAATACAAAGAAACAAGATTCGACAAAGAGAATCGCGACCGAAAATGAAGAATCAATAATACAAGGTTCGTATTTTTTTAATGTTATTTGATGTATTAAATAGTATTTTTGCTCTTAACTAATGATATGGTTTTGTGACTTTCTTCTGGGAAAATTGGTCATTTCATACTCATCATAATCATGAGTGTTCAATTAATATCTAACATTATTCTGACGATAAAAAAAAAAAAATCTAACATTTTTCTATGTGCAAAAACATAACTAATCTTTTAACAAATTCAAATTGCATACTCAAAGTTACGAAACCGTGTGAAGTCATACATGACTACTGACATGGATGTCACTTCCTTGATGATGTTGATGACATGATTGCCATGTCATTAAATTTAATCAAAAAAAAAAAAAATTAAAACTCATACTCTTATATATTATTATTATCCAACACAATTGTGATTTTTTTTATGTAAGAAGCTAAAATCTTACTTTCAAAACTTATAACCAATATTTCAACTGAATCTAATATTTAAACGATGATAAACCAAAAAAAATTAATGGCACATGAACAAATATTATGTATGAATTACACATTTATGTTTAGGTTAGATATGAAATGGCCGACTATCCCTCTACAATCATATGTTGAAGCAGGGGCGGACCCACAGCCAAGATGGTGGGGGCAGCTGCCACCAGCAAAAAAAAAAAAAAAAATTATTAAAAAACTATTAAATATTATTAGAAAATAAAATCTGTCCACACAAAAAAAAAACCTACTTTTCATCCTTTTTCTTGGAAATCCCATTAATTCATGTACTAAAAAAAATATATTAATATATAAATTAAAGACTTACTAATCTAGATCTAATTTTTTGTTATTTTCTTCTTCTTTAGTCATTTGGTTTCTTTGTGTGACAACAAATCAACAACTATCAATTTGTGAGTTTATTTTCCTGCTTTTTTTACAATCGTTTCTATTATATAAGCATTATTTTTTAGTCAGTTAATTTTATTTAATCAGTTCAAGCTTATAGCTATGTTTCCTGGAAAACATTATATAGGTTTTTATGTTATACATGACTATATTAGTTTTTGCAGTGATAATTGTTTATGTGTTTATTCTATGGTTAAGCTTTTATGGAAGTTTGTTACATAATTCAAAAATTTAAAATTAATAAATTTTAAAATATAAGTCTATAAATTCAAAATTTTCTAAATTTTTAATTAATAACATGTTTTTTTGTTTTTAATTATTTGAATCTGTCACAAATGAAAATGTGGTAAAAAGGTTTCAATTGTTAAATGAGCGTCTGAGTGGTTTTGTAAGATGTTTTAAAGTTTTTACATGACAATTTTATGTCTTTTATAATTTAGTATATGATAGTTTTTTTACTATATTTTTGCCCCCATTGAACAAATTTTCTAGATCCGCCCCTGTGTTGAAGTATGTGTATCGAAAAGCAGAACCAAATTTCAGGTTGGTTAAGTTTCTTTATGCGTTTTGCTTTTAACTCTTGTGCTCAGTGTGCTTAAGCCATTCCAAAAGAAATGCAAAATGCATTTTGACTTGTTCATTCCTTCAGTGTATTGGGAAAGCGACTTGGAAAGTCAATGGAGCTTGTTGCAAAGGAAGTTAAAGATATGTCTCAGCAAGATATCTTAATATTTGAGGACGTAGGAGAATTTACTATTGCTAAACACTCTATGATGCTAACAAACATCAAGGTATCTCATTATGCTATTTTCTTGTGGGATATAAAATGTAGAATTATGATGTAAAGAACTATATTATAGAGAATGTACTGAAATCTTTGTCTGCTTTGGGTTAACATAACTCCTAAACAAATCTTGCTAGTGAAGAAATGATGGTGGTGAAGCATATACAAGATGGCTTAACCAATGAAGAAGTGGAGAGTCCTTAAAAGAATAGAAACGTTGACATATTCGATTCTTTCAATGGATGGTACTAAGAAAACATTTTAGTGTAAATCCCACAAAGAGAGATGTTGTTAGTGTGGTGAGAGGTTCTCTTCTTGTTCTTCTTCTCTTAGTGTGGGGAGATAGAAACAAAAATTGTTGGGCCTGTTTATTCCCCAACACACATACTGAAACGGGGGCTTACTTAAAGACAAATTGACAAAAAACCAAATTGTTGACATATTTGTGTGTGTGTTTTTTGCTTTTGAAAAGAGCAATAAAATTTTGAAATGGTAAAGAGTAGGAAGGAAACGAAAAGAACAGTGGCAGAAAACATAATGATGGGAATGGAATCATACGAAAGTCATGCCGATACCAATTAGAGCATTTGTTGTTGTTGTCGTCACGTGAAATATTCTTATAGAGAATAGTGATAGTTATATTTTGGTATTATTCCATTTGCATAGTTCTTTTGACAAAAATCCAAATGTATATACTTATTGTAGTTACAGCGATATACAGTAATGTATATAACACTATATTTTAACCCCTGGTATACTATGGGGCAAACATTTTAAATTTTTTTTTTTTTTGGGAATTTACTGATTTTGTTGGTGTTTGTTTGATAATTATTAAGATTTTATAATATCAGTCTTAACTAAATCAGTTTGATTCTACATGTCTTATATTGGTATTGTTAAAAAATAGTAAAATGAAGATTGAACTCGTATTGAATTAACAGATTAATGATATTTTTATTTTATAGTAATTAATATCGATTTCAAACCCAACCCATCCTACAATATAATTCGTCAGTGTTATTTTATTTTATTTTATTTTATTAAATATAAAACAATTCACCAAAAATTGAACTAAATGATATACAAATTTAAAGTCTGGATGCTTATTAAGTGAAACGTTCTGCTCACTCGGATTTAAATTCATTTTGATCCTATGTATAATATGACTCTGAATCATTCTTTTAACATTTTTGCGGATTTGAGATGTTGAACACATTCTTTTTATATATGTCTGTTTTAAAAATTTTAATCATAAAATATGAGTGATGTATGTCTGTTTTAAAAATTTAAATCATACAATATGCAGAAAAGCAAAATTAGATTTTATTAATTTTATGTGTTATATGATGATTCAAAAAAAAAAATCAAATCAAACAACTATGATAGGAGAATTATAATTTTAAATCCTCTAAATGTCTATGTATTTCCATTTTTATTTTCTTCCATCTATTTTCCATTTATTTTTAAAGATATTGTATTAAATGCAGTGACATTCTTTGTAAATAGTTTGGAAGTCCAGAATTTATTTCAAAAACTGCTTTAAAATGTTAATATAGATAGGGATAGAAGTTATCACAAATTTTTTTATTTCCAAAAAAAATAAAAAATAAATGATCACAAATACAATAATTATATTTTTTTCTAGTATTAGATTTCTTTCTTCCTTGTCTGATTTGGGGGTGAAAAGTCTTCCTCTTAATGTAAAATATATCTATATTATTCTTTTCTATTTTGCTGGTTTAAGTTAAGTAGCTAAGTACAAATTAAAACTTCAAAGTTTTCAATTTATTGTTGACCTGAAGTATACAGATTTAAAAATAAACTTTCATATTAAGCTTTTTTTTTTGACAGTCCTTGTATATAAATTTAAGTAAACAATTAAACTATATTAAAAGTGTTATCATATATATATTTAGTATAAAAAGTTTAACCATGAAGATGCTCTAAAGTTGTTAGTTATATATATATGTGTTTGCAAACTAGTGAGGGGGGGGGGGGGACAAATATAAGCTAGATCTTATCAATTTTTATTTAGATAATGATATTGTGAAGAAAATACAAAGAATGGAAAGTTATCTTGCTGAAATAAAGGATTAGAATGAATAATAAAGAATGGAAAGTCATTAACTTCCATTTCTTTTCAACATCACAACTCTCATTCCTCAATCTATAAATTATTCTTTCTCTCCATTATCACAACACAAAATCTTTATATTATTCACAAAAACCAAAATGGCGTCGTTAGTAATGTTTGTGTTGGTGGTTCTAATCACTATTTCCATGGATATGAGGGCCTCTCAAGCTACATCTCGTATCACATTGCACGAGCCATCCATTGTTGATTACCACCAGCAATGGATGATTCAATTCTCTCGAGTTTACAAGGATGAATTCGAGAAACAAAGGAGGCTTGAAGTGTTCAAGAAAAACTTGAAATCCATTGAGAACTTCAATAATATGGGGAACCAAAGCTACAAACTTGGCGTCAACGAGTTCACAGATTTGACAGAAGAAGAGTTCTTTGCCACCCACACCGGTCTCGGAGGCATTAACGTAACTTCACTATCAAAACAGCTGCTGGTTAATGAAACGATGTTATCTAAGAATTGGAACGATAGTTATATCGACGGTAAGAGCAAAGACTGGAGAACTGAAGGAGCTGTAACCCCTGTTAAAAGTCAAGGAGCATGTGGTAAGCTTACCTTGATTATATATATATTATAAACACTAAGCCAATACATGCACATAATGTGTTAGGGTTATTATTCCACATAAGTTAGGGTTGTCATGCTAGGTTTATAGTAACCAGATAACTTGTTTCATAATAAATTGATGTAATCGATATATATACATGGGGGCAGGAAGTTGTTGGGCTTTCTCAGCGATTGCAGCGGCGGAAGGTTTAACAAAGATTATCGGCAAAAAACTTGTGTCACTGTCGGAACAACAACTTATAGATTGCGACACAGTTAGCGCTGGTTGCAAGGCGGGACAGTCCTTTGACGCTTTCCAATACATAGTCAAAAGCAAAGGCATTGCTTCAGAAGCAGAATACCCTTACAAAGCGAAAGAGGGGAGCTGCCGTTCCGACATAAGACCCGCGCCAGGCACACAGATCAAAGGGTTCCAACAGGTTCCAAGCAACAACGAGCGTGCGTTGCTCGAGGCCGTATCAAGACAGCCCGTCACGGTGTACATTGACGCCAGGATGACCGGTTTTGGGAATTACAAAGAGGGAGTGTTTGCGTACACTGCACGAAACTGTCAGGAGAAGGTAACTCATGCTGTGACGTTCGTAGGATATGGGACTAGCAATGGGATAAACTACTGGTTGACTAAGAACTCTTGGGGTGAGACTTGGGGAGAAAAGGGTTACATCAGGATTCGTAGAGATGTGGAGCTGCCTCAAGGCATGTGTAATATAGCTCAGTGGGCTTATTATCCGGTTATGTAACTGATTTATATTCAAGTGTTGTGATCATACATCATATATATTTATATGTAGTCTTGGTTATGATTTGTTTACCAGTGCGGTTACATCGCAACAAACTATAATATGTTCATTTCATCGCAACTTAAACTATAGTGATATTTTTAATTGTAATTTTTTTTTGAAAATATGAACTCGGACAATTTTTACATAATTTATAGTATGTAATTCAATTTTATATTTAGAAAACAAAATTGACAATAATTAGAAAATAAATTGACAGTAAATTACAATTATATATATATATATATATATATATATATATATATATATTCACTTATATAAATAATAAACACAAATTCAAATTTATGATTAATAACCTCACTATTTATATTTCAACATCATATGAAACAAAAAATAACGAATATATATGATGCATACTTATAAATTGAAAACATAATGAAAATTAAGGTTATTGTTAAGACATGTTATGAAGTGTATCACAAGCTTAAATATGGCATAAAATTGTTTGATAGATATGAGCTCTAAAACAAAATTCATTTTTACAACAACTAGAACATACATTACTATATATATATATATATATATATATGGTGACTATTAATTTATGAGATTTTGGGACTATATTTTACATGAGAATTTCAAAAAATTATTATCATATTATCTTATCAAATTTTATTATTTTTTACATTGATGTGACTCGTGATCAGCAAAATTTATTAATTCATAGTATTTATTAGTCTATAGAATATTTCTTTATAGAGGTTTTACTCAAATACTTTCTAAGCTTCTTGAAAATATGGCGTTAAGCGATATTTCTTAGAAAAACGCGAAGAAATGCCTCAGTAAGAGAAGACATAATTTCATAAAGGAAACAAACCAGATATGTTCATTGAAAATATTTGATGATAAGAAATATATAATCATATTTTGGAAGACAACCGGAGTACTAAAAGTTTATCTATTAGATTAACAGCCAAAGAACCTCAAAAATGTGACAGTGATATACAAGACCAAGGAGATCATGATCTTTGCTGGACATATGTTAGTTGTAATTTGGTAAGCGCCTCTTGAAATTCCATAGTTGGGATAGCTAATACACACACCATTATGTTCAAGATATGTGCTAGTTTATTGATTTAAATGAGTACAATAGACGACCTCTCAAACGTAAATAAAAAAAGGGTGGGCATCCATGGGCGGATATATGCAAGTCATAAGGGTTGCAAGTGCACCATATAAAATTATATATATTAATGCTAATTTATGTAGGATATTAATTATGCACATAGTCATTTCATTTTTTTCACTAGTTCAATCTATTTCATATTTAGATTAAAAACTTACAGTTACATATTTTCTATAACAATTAAATAGTTTTCATGAGTTTTACTTTATTTCTAATTGAAATATATTTTTAATGCATAATAACTATACTCGTTCTCTTGTTTTTATGATAAAATATACCACAATTTCAATAAATAATCTAAGTAAAATAGATATATTTCTAATCTTGAATTATTTTATAACTAATTTTATTTTTCTTATTATTTCTATGATTTAGTTAATGAGTATTTATCAAATTTTCCACCTGATAAATATTTGTTTTAGATCCGCCGTTGTGGACATCGATGACGGCTAATGTATAAAGAAGATGAGCTGCATAAAATTTATGATATCTTTATATATCAAACCCTTGAAGAAGCACTGGTTAGGCTTCGGACGCACCCGGTTGGTGGAATACTATTAGGGTTCGACAGTTGGGATGATAATGAAATTTATCGCGGCCCCTTGAAAAAAAATACAAGGTTCGTATTGTTTTGAATGTTATTTGATGTATTTTATCGTAATATTTCTCTTAACTAATGATATGGTTTTTTTACTTTCTTTTGGGAAAATTGACCATTTCTTACCCATCATAATCATGAGTGTTCAATTCATAACTAAAATTTTCCTATGTGCAAAAAACATAACTAATCTTTTAACAAATTCAAATTTCATATTCGAACATACTTTGATGATGTTGACCACGTGGTTTATTTTTTAAAAAAAAATCTCTTATTCTTCTCCATTAATATTATCTAAATCTTATTTAAACATATATGTTGATGACGTGGTTTTTTTTTTTTTTTAAATCTCTTATTCTTCTCCATTAACTAAATTTTATTATGATTTTTGACGTAAGAAGCTAAAATCTAATTTTCAACGATTATAAACAAAATCAATCATGTTCATTATATGAAATAAGAGTATATATAGTTAAATAAGAATAGTGTTTTTGTCATTCTACGTATAGAATTTAGCTGGACGGGTAGTCGTATGCAAAAACATAAGTGGCCTACGAAGGAAAATATGTATAAATTTCGTAGTAATCCTATGAAAAAGAAGAATACAAAGTAGATTCTTTGACCGAGAGTATTCTGACAAAACCAATGGAGATGAGAAAAAGATCGATGTGGATCCAACGCAATATGGGTCCTTCCTTAATTACTTCAAAATATTTGAGACTTGTATGTGTATATATATCATCAGCCACTGTGGGAAATGGTACCAATCTCAGTTTCTGGGGTGATACTTGGACTCCCTTTGGTCCCCTATTGCATTTCATTGGAAGCGCAGGCCCTACTGTTTTGAGAATCCCTTTATCAGCCACTGTGGCGGATGCTACCGCTGGCTCCTCTTGGATGCTAGCTCCTCCCAGGTCTGACCACGCTGCTCAGCTTCAGGCTTTTCTCACCACGATCACCCTCCCGCTGAATTCAGAATTGGCAGACTCCTTTGACTGGACTGTAGATAATGCGAATTGCCAAGGTTTCTCTTCCTCTGCAACTTGGCAAGCCATTAGACAAAGAGAGGATATCAAACCTTGGGCTGACTCTATTTGGTATAAAGGTGCAACTCCTAGGAATGCTTTCAACATGTGGATTTCTCAGCTGGATAGATTGCCAACTAGAGCGAGGCTCCTCTCCTGGGGAATGCAGATTGATCCGCTTTGCTGCCTCTGTTCAGCTGAGGTTGAGACAAGGCACCATCTGCTTTTAACCTGTCATTTCAGCCGTTGTATATGGGAAAATGTTTTCTTGAGACTAAAGCTCCCTCCTTTACTCTTCCGTGATTGGAACCACCTTATCTCCTGGACTTTGGTCCAAAACAGATCTCCTCCGCCTACTCTGCGCAAGTTAGTGGCTCAAGCTTCTGTTTATGCGATTTGGAAGCAGCGGAACAATATCCTCCACAACTCTCAGGTTATTACTCCGCTAAGTATCTTCAAGATTATCGATCGAGAGGTTAGAAACTCGATAAGTGCTCGACGGCATAGAAAGAAGTTCAAAGATCTTATGTCCCGTTGGATCATTTAGGTGGAGTATGAATTTCATTCTGCTCTTCGTCCATCTTTTGTTATAATTTGCTTCCTTGTTTTTATGTTTTTTGGCAAGGAACCAATTCTTCTAAGTTTCATTCATGTAAATCTGTTCCCTCATTTATATGATATTTACAATTTTAGCAAAAAAAAATATATATCATCAGAACATCGAATTTGTGAATAAAAATACAAGTGTATATAGGCATATGTTTTAGACGACTGGTTAATGTGGCAAGATTCTTATAAGAGAATCTAACAAAAGCATAAAAATATATATAACAAATAGATAGAGAGATTCGATTGGCCTTTCCAAAATATTTGTCTCGTGTTCGTAAAAATTCGAAGAATATATATATTTGGGCACAACTTTTTCAACAATAACAAAAAAAAATGTATTTTCATGTTATGTTGGTTGGTTTTGTCAGAGGAAACTTATTCTCTGCACATGACATATATGGTGTGGGTCAAAATATACCTAATCATATCCATTATTCTATTGACGAGCAAAAAAAAAAAAAAAGAGCATCACCGTCGAAATAGAATAGTGAAAATAATCAAAATCATACAAATAGATTTGACATTGTGAAAATGTTTTCATATTATTATCTTAGTTACCAAGAAATATATATATACTTGGTATTGAAACAAAAAAAAAAAGAATGATGACTTTAGAATCCTAAAAAACCTTTTATTTATAAAGATGGATACGTGTTGTGAACATGTTGGAAGATGAGAGAGCTAGAGAAAAGCAATTTAGCAAGAAAAGTTATTCTTTGGACGAAAACTTCAACTTCACAAAAGCTTGAAATCGTAAAGTATGAAAATTAAAAAAAATATATATATAACATTTTCTTTGTTGCCGCTAATAATAATGTTCCCATGGTTTTAGTATCTTTGACTTGGGAGACTTTGACGCACACCACAACATCATCTTTGATTTTTTACGCTTTTAACCGACACATAATATATCAATATAACATAACCTCTCTTTTTTTTTAATCTACCTATAATTATAATTTCATAATAACCATATTATTAAATTTTGTTGGACCGACGTTACGGAAAAAAAAGTAAAGAAAAAGAGGTGAGGGTAATAATAATAAGGCTATTCAAAATCTGATGCTATGAGTTATTATTATTACTAATCACCAACAAGAAAACTAAAGTCATTGGTTCAAAAACATAAATGAAAATCTAACTGCATTTGTAGTAATCCAAAGTACCAAAACCATCACCTTTATTAACAAATTCATTCCTAGGTTAAAAGATTTTTAAAGAAGGTAATTTACAACAACAAGTGACATATGTTTTTTTTTTTCTTTTGAACTGAGACATATGTATTTATCGATCGTCAAAATTTAAACTGTTGAAGTTTTTTTTCTTTTGCACATACAAATGTCAAATGGTCCAACATTGAATGCAAGAGAAAGTGATGTTTCAAATAACGTTAAAAAAAATTATTTGGACAAACAAAAAAGGGGAATTCTCTTAAATCCTTATTAAAAAATAATTATATCTATATTTTTTCTTAATGTCACGAAGTATATAAATCTGATTTAATTATGGTACTTTTTATTTTGTCATTATAAATTTTATCAAATGATTAATAAACTATATACGCCATCGGAAACAAGTCTAAATATAAACCGATAAAAATATAGATTTTTTTCAGAGACAAGAATTTTGAAAAAAAGACTAAAAATACAAATCATAACCGATAAAACCAAGTTTTTACTAATTAAATTTTCATACTATTTTTTCAGAAAAAAAAAAAATTCATTCTATTTACTCTCGTAAACTAATACCTTAAATTTACCTTTCTAGCTAGATTATTTTTTAAGATGAAAGGAGGTTTTTTTAATAACCCACTTTCTTATTTTTTTCCATTTTTGTGAAAAGTTTTAAACTGACTAATTTCAAAAAATGGTGTGTGAATGGTGAAAAAATAGGTTGTAAAACCACTAATTTCAGTGTGAATGGTAAAAAGTAAATATACATATTTTTTAAAAAATGGAGGAGCTTTAAAGCATTGAAAAAAATCACGAGTTTGGTATGAGTAAAAGAAACGAGTCCAACTAGTGAAGCAAAGCTGTAAAAAAAACTCAAAACAGAGTTAGCTGAAATAAAGAGTTTGAGAGATACGCGACGAAGCGAAGAGTTTTTGTGATATCTCTCAAAACTCAAAAAGAAAAGAAAAGAAAAGATAGATAGAGAGATACCCTACAAAGGCCATAACACAGAATCTTCTAGCTTTCTTCTTCCTTCCTTCAATCAATCTTCTCTCTCTCTATATCAAAAAGATTCCCCACCCAAACATGCTTCTCTTTCTATATAATCGCTTCACATAGATCTCATCTCAGGTTTTTTCTTTATTCTCACACTCTCCTTCTATGTTCTTCTCTACCTTTGCTTACTCTGTTATTTTTTTCATCAAAGAGAGTTGCTTTGAGATCATGACGACGAGCTAGTTCTTGAAAAGTTTGAGTTTTTTTTCTCTTTCATCGAGAAATTGAAAAAAATAAAAATGGGTTCTTTAGGCGATGAGCTGAGTTTGGGATCGATCTGTGGTTCTCAGAGAGGAGTTTCGAAGATCATTATGAATGTTGAGAAGCTTGAAGAAGAGAAGAGAAAGATCGAAAGCTCTCAACTTGAGCTTCCTCTGTCTCTGCAGATTTTAAACGATGGTTCGATTGCTTTTGATTTTGATGATCTCTCTGTTTCTCGGGTTTAAAGCTTCCAAATTTTATGGATTTTGGTTACTAAATTTGAGTTTTTTGTTTGCAGCGATTTTGTATCTCAAGGAGGAGAATAAGAGATGTTCAGAGATGGATACTCAACCATTGTTGAAAGATTTCATTTCTCTTGATAAGCCTATTCGAGAAGAGATTGATGATATGCAATTGTTGAAGAGGGATGAGCTAACGAGGGAGAAGAAGTTTCAGCAATGGAGAGCTAATGATGATCACATCTCAAACACTAAGATCAAGAACAAGCTAGCGATTCAGGTAAAACCCTGAAACTGAGATAGCATTTGGGGAATTGGATGACACAACAAAGTATGTGTTTTTAAGATGAATCAAGGACAAAGGACTGAGTTTTGCCATTGTTGTTTGGTCTAATTGTTGCAGAGAAATGGGGAGAAATCTTCTATGTTGTTGATTCCAAAAGTAGAAACTGGTTTAGGCCTCGGTTTAACTACGAGTTCGATGAGAAGAAAAGGCGTTGTTGCCTCTTGTGGCTTTAGTTCTTCTGACTCTATGTCACAACCACAGCCATTACCACCACCACAACAACCAGCATTTCTTCAGCAGCAAGCTTTGCGGAAGCAAAGAAGGTGTTGGACTCCTGAGTTGCATCGCCGTTTTGTTGATGCCTTGCAACAGCTCGGTGGACCTGGAGGTAAAAAGCTGACTAATCATCTTTTTGTGTTCTTGAGTTTGGTACTTAAATACAGAATGTGTTGTAAGCTTTGTCTGTTTTGTGTAAAAAACAGTGGCAACTCCTAAACAAATTAGAGAGCATATGCAAGAAGAAGGCTTAACCAATGATGAAGTGAAGAGTCACTTACAGGTAACTAAAAAGCATATAGATACAATCTTTGATTCATGCAATGACTTTACTAAAAAACCATCTTTCCTTTTTCTTTAGAAATACCGGCTACACATCAGGAAGCCGAATTCGAATGCGGAGAAACAATCAGCAGTTGTTCTAGGATTTAACTTGTGGAATTCATCATCACAAGAGGAGGAAGAAACAGGTGAAGGAGGAGGAGAGTCATTAAAGATAATCAATTCGCAATCGGATTCTCCTCAAGGTCCTCTGCAGTTGCCTTCTACAACAACTACAACAGGAGGAGATAGTAGCATGGAAGATGTAGAAGATGCTAAATCCGAGAGCTATCAGGTGGAGAGACTGAGATCACCATAAATCTCATTCCTTTTGACAAAAGAAACCAAACTCTTGATCCCGGTTTTGTTATTTTGGGTTCATCACTTCTTCTATTAGTAGTGAATGAGAACAATAATTATAGAAAGGTTTATAGATATATATATAGAGAGAGAAGAGAAAAAAGAACAAAGAGAGAGCAATATAGAGTGAGTGAGGATGGTTTTTACATTATTATTAGCTTATTTTGTGTACGGCTTTTTTTGGTTGGGGTTTTGAATGAGGCAATTATCCAAAGTAATAATATTTATGTTTGATTCATCATTTTTAGTTCACAACAAAACAAAAGGGCGAATATGAGTTAGGTTGAATGTTGGGTTTTTCTAGATTTGGAACGCATAATACTATAGGGAGGGACAGAGACATGAGCATGTGTTTGGTTTTATATTCGGATTCATATTGTAAGATATTTGCTTTGAATTGTTATTTTTGTTTTATCATATGCTTTGAAATAATGGTCTTTCAACGCTCACCTAATCAATCATGCGGTCGTTCGTTCCATCAACCAAAAGGGTCTTTACCTTTGACCGACGGATACGTACTATATACATTTTTATTTATTTATTTATTACTATAAGAAAAAAAAATATTCAACAAGAGATATTTTAAGTTTGAACTTCGAGTAAATTTTGGTCATGATTAATAATTAATTAGATTCTTAGATTTCTTCAAACTCAAGAAACTGGTTATTGTCTGGTTTCCACATTTGAAATTCGTTGGCGGTAGGTTCTCGTCGAGTTTCAGTTCATGAACAGGCAAATCTAACCCATCTCAAAGTACATTTATGAACAAAGATCCTATATAAGGTTACGATAAGGCATAAAGTTTCCGAGTTTAAGCATCATAAATTTGTCTTAAGTATTGTATGCTCTCTTAACATTTAGAGAACCATTTTGAATCTCTATTACGACATTTTTTCGTGGATTTTGAAAATCAGGTCCGGTCTTAAGAGTATTGAGTATGAAAAGAAAAATTGTGGGCTCACTTTTGGTATAGTTATCGTTTATAGTTAGAAGCATATAAAACATGTTTCAATGGAGAAAACTCCTTTCATGCCCAATTACTTTTGTTGGCCATCTTTGTCGTCTCGGATACTCTCACATGCAACTAAGCTAAGAAATAATAAGGTCAAGCTGAAAATTTGATCCATGTAATTTAGATGACAATGGAGATAATTTCATGCAATTTTTATTTTGAGAAGGTCGTTAATAGATAGTTGTTGTGAAGAACTGATTTGTAATCGATACAACATAAAATAATTTCAATGAGAGCCGACATATAGCTAGTTAGGAAGAACCGGAAAACGCTTTGGTCGAGCTTGTTTATCAAATTCCAAAAATTCATATATGAACTTCGGCTCAACATATATATATATATATATATATATATATATTCCTTTAATTTATTTTTAAAAGAACTTGTTTCAATTTGTTATATTTTTTATTTTTAATCAAGAATAGCCATCAAAACCAACACTGCAATGAATATTCAAAGATGTATCGTCTAGTAATTGTTTGCTAAAAAACTCACAGATATATAATCGATACTTTTTTATTGATTAATAGCGATAATAAATTTTGAAACGACAAAAGTATATTGTTAGGACTTAGGAGTATTTTTAAAGCAACATGTGGTATTCTTAAATGTAATAAAAATCATATTTTATGTCATTTATAATTTACGCATGCACAGTTCTGATTTGAACTTGGATAATGACTCAATGGCAATATTACACAAAGTTTGTGTCACAAACCACTAACTAAACCATAAACTTCTGTCAATGGAATAGTATTTTTTTCCCTTTTAAATGAAGAAGGGGGTGATTATTCTATATATAGTTTATAGTAAAGCAAACATAATTATGGATTGCCACAAGTGGTTCATATTCATAAAATGTGATCAATCCACTTTAGTTGTGAAATAGAAAGTTGGAAGCTCTGGCCAACCAATGGAAGCAAAGACTTGGGTTCTCAAGTCGTCGAGTACACTAGCTATAGTTTCGACTAAAGCTTCCAACATGGGTAGTGGAATTTGTTGCGCAATCCTCTTGATGTCAAATATTTGACTATCTAATGAAATTCTTACCTATATACTACTCGTTTTGAAAAGTGATGAACAAGCAAGTGTGATGAATTTGTAACAAATTGAACTACAAAAATAACCTTAAACAAAAGTAAGAACAAAAAATACAAACTAACAAGGGTTTAGAGCGTAATTATTTTCCTAGCTATTTACCAAAATGACCTTTATTAAACTTTAATGTTAAGAGTATTTATATTGTTGACGCCAAGAAAAATCAGCATCGTATTCGTATGTTTAAGTTTCGTCTGTTTTTAAGTTTGTTCATGGACATCTACCTCTACGGCGACCGCATGAGAATATATAAACCTTCGTCATAGGTGAGACGGTCATATATATACTCATATCACTCAGATACCGATGTAATGCTTTTTGAGTACTCAAGTAAAAGATCACAGCTCAAAACTTGGGGTAAACAAATTATTGTAAAAAAAATTCTCTAAATCTTATTATATGTAACGCTCTTCGAGCCTAAAACACAAATTAAAGAATCATGGCCCTTAGAATAATTATATTAAAAAAAATTGCGTCACAGAAGTTTAAACTTAGAAAAATTAGACCAAAAGAAAAAAGAGAAGGTCTAATATTATACCAAATTACTCTTCTCAAAATTTAACCTTAGATATATATATACTTGAAAGAATGTTACTAGTAAACACAAGCTTATTGGTTTTAGGTTTGGATGGGACAAATAGCTTGTGAGTAAATAATTGATATCTCACTTTACTTGGTTCTTTAATCCTAATAAAAGCTAATATCCGATCTTGTGTTAAAGACTTACTTGTTTCTTCTATATTTAGAGCAAATAAAGAAGAGTAAAAACATTTTCTTGTCTTTCTCTATTTCTTTTGTTTCTCGTACCAACTAACAACAATGATAAAACGGATTTGTTAGCATGAAATATATGTGTATATATAAACAATGTTGACAACAAAAAAAAAAAAAAAACACTTGACATAAATATAACGGGCTGCATAAAATAATTTTTGCTATACACAAATTAAAATCAGGGTTGTTTGTTTTGTATTTCTATCCAAACATGCAAAATAATTATTCAGTTTCTCTATCAAATACATTATGTTAAATTTTGATATTTAAGGTCTTATAGAAAGTACAACATTCATTGTACAAGAGGAAATACATTGGCTGCGTAACTGCGTTGAAGTCGCCTTATGCTCGCAAGGTTATCAATAAGAAAGGAAAGTGCGGCATTATATGATTTATTTTAGATTATTTCTGCACTAATCCTCCCACTATTCAAAACTTGAGCACAAAATTTTGGTTTTTAATTGAAAGTGTGTATGACGTTAACAGAGAACATTCGAAAAGTTTGTATGATATGACATCTTAACTCGAGAAAATAATCACATGCTAAAATGGCGAGAAAAAAAACCATTTACTTTGTCAAGTGACTGAACTAAAAGACAGAAACCTAATATTACAAAATCATCAAATTTTAATCCACTAGATTATCTTATTTATAGTGGCACTCCCACTTTCTTAACTATGCATGCATCTCCTATGCGCACCCTTGTTAAGGCTAATATAATTAATTTAAAATACACCTTGGTTTGGTGTATAAATACAAGCTAAAATCATCGTAGCAATACACAATCAATCTACGATCAATCTATCTTTTATTTCATCATCATGGACTACACAAAGATTTCGTATTGGTCTATATCTTACCTAGCAATCTTAACTCTTTTCTTCAAAGACTTTGTCTTCTCGTTTCCTTCGGGGTATAACAATGGTTATAACAACCATGGTAATTATAACAAAGGTCACGGATACGGACTAACTAGCGATCTCAACTATCGATTCTACGATCGGTCTTGTCCTCGTCTTCAGATGATTGTTAAGTCCGGAGTTTGGAGAGCTTTTAAAGATGATTCTAGAATCGCTGCGTCTCTTCTCCGACTCCATTTCCATGATTGTTTTGTCAATGTAAGTAGTTTTGTATCTTTACGTGACATTTCTTTTTCTTTGTTTAATGTTTTACGCATGCATATATAGTAGTGGATTATATATCACTATTCACACATATATACTCTTTATATATATATAACTCGTGTATGTATTATAAAAACTAATCAAGCCATTTTAGTGAAAACTATACTACTCAGCTACTAAAATTTTACAAAATTTTTACATCAAACACAAAAAGAGCTCTTTAGGCATACATACATACACATCAGCATTTTTTTTTTTTTTGTAATCTGTTTTAGTATAGGAAAGATACATATTAGAGTAGAAGCCACTAGTTAGACTAAGGCTTTGTATATGTACATAAATGTATCAAACATATTTATCTCTATATATGTATATAACTAGGAAAAAGGATGTAATTAAATTGTATGTTGTAGGGATGTGATGGATCTATACTTCTGAATGATTCCGAGGACTTCAAAGGAGAGAAGAACGCTCGTCCAAACCGAAACTCAGTCCGTGGCTTCGAAGTCATTGAAGACATTAAATCTGACATCGAAAGTTCTTGTCCCTTAACTGTTTCATGCGCAGACATAGTTGCCCTTGCGGCCAGAGAAGCCGTCGTCCTCGTGCGTGTGATCTTGAAACCCCTAGCTAATCATTAATCTGAATTGTAACAATATATTGTAATGAAATAACCAAAACATTATCTATTGGTTCATTACTTATGATTTGGTTATATGCCATGCAGACCGGAGGGCCGTTTTGGTCGGTGCCTTTGGGGCGAAGGGACTCTTTAACGGCGAGTGAGCAAGCGGCAAATACAAATCTGCCATCTCCGTTTGAGCCATTGGAGAATATAACGGCCAAGTTTGTAAACCTTGGACTCGATCTCAAGGATGTTGTTGTCCTCTCAGGTTTGGTTAATTCTTTGATTTTGGTTTTAATTAAATTACCCAAAATATTACTTATTCTAAAGCAAAAAATAAAAGTTAGAATATATTTTACATGATTAATTTGAACTTTTTGATCCAAAAAGAGAAAAAAAAAGATTAATTTGAACTTATGTTATCTATGACTATTCGTGTATGTAGGAGCACATACTATAGGATTTGCTCAATGTTTCGTGTTCAAGCACAGGCTCTTCAACTTCAAGGGCTCGGGCCAGCCTGATCCAAACCTAGCCGCTTCCTCGGCTCTTCTCTCTACACTAAAGGACACGTGTCCTAACGTGGACTCTTCCAACTCTAAGCTCGCGGCTCTTGACGCAGCTAGCTCGGTCAAGTTTGACAATGCTTACTACGTGAACTTGATGAATAACATAGGACTGTTGGATTCCGACCAAACCCTAATGACGGATCCTACAGCCGCCGCCATGGTGAAATCGTACAGCGAGAATCCGTACTTGTTCTCGAGGGACTTTGCAGTTTCAATGGTTAAAATGGGGAATGTCGGTGTTCTGACCGGAAGTGATGGAGTGATTAGAGCAAAATGTGGATTTCCAGGTTAAGTTATATAGCCTTGTTTGAACGTACGTAAAACACTTAATATCATCAATCTATAACATATCTAGAAATATTCTAGCATTTAAATATAAATCATATAGACCAAAGTCCATGAATAAAATATATATGTTTATATATAATGGTGTAAAATCAGCCTTATGTATCTACATATCGATCACAGAGACGAAACTACTTGGAGTTGTATGTGTGTTTGTGTGTAATGGAATGTGTCTTTGTACTTGTATCAACATAAAATAGTCATAGTTCTCGATTTGGTTTGTTCTAATAATAATTTCGGGAAACATATTTCTTACAAATTGTTGAAATATCAAAGATATAAACATATAGATTTCTGTAAAAAAAATCATTGAAAGATAACGTGTATTATATAAATTATATACGATCTGTCACAACAACTACAAACACCTTTAGATATGTAGTTGGAGTCTTGTAAATTCCTTAATACAATTGAAGAAAAATGGTTAAATGATGAAATTTACATATATAGTTGACAAAGAACTGATGAAACTACATATATCCATCAAACCCAAAAATACAAGCAAACCACATTTCAAATCACACTTTACATTCAGAATTAAAGCCTATAATTATCAGACAAATACGTCGTTTAATATAGATTGAAAAAAGGCAATTAAGCATTGAATGATGATATGCACTTCCATAAATTCCAAATGGAAGCAACTAACTTTGTAGGTATTGTTTGTTGATTAGTGAGTGGAAGAGATAGATTTATAAATCATTAATTATCTTCAACGACTTCATGAGATTATCATCAGGACGAGAGTTAGTGGAAGGAATGAGAAATACATCATCATATAAGCTAAATTTTTAAAAATGTTTTAAATCTATTATCCATATCGTATCGTCTAAATACAAAAGAGTAGTTAGGTTATATACATCATCATCAAGTTATATTACAAGTAAAACACACACTGCCAAGATAAATATACTATAATTTATACTCATAAGCTAAAGAATTATTTGTTCATATATGAGATTATTTTTTTACTTAGATATTTTACTAATTATTTATTTCTTGATCAGGTTTAATTTAACCTAATTAAAGAATGTGTGTGCTTAAAAAAAAAAATTGTGTGTACTAAAAAGGTTGACCAAAAAAATGTGTGTTTCAACTTTCAATACAGAGGTGGTCAGACGGGATGCTTATTAGACCATAGTAAAAGTTACTTCTTGAACGTTTTAATAAATTAGGTGTTCTTGTTACTAAACCGATTCAAACAGCTTTAAGCAATCATAAACGGCCATATTATAAATATCGTTAGTCAATTATTATTTAATTTATAATTTATTTTAATGTATTTTTCTGATTTTTTGCTACATAGATTTAAATGTAAGTTTTAACTCCATATACATTGTTATCAGAATTCGTATGTTGTTTAATATCAATTAAATGAATGCTTTTGTCTAATTCTTGTTTATGATATAATACTTTCATTTTTTAATGGATGGTTTGATCATTTTTTTCTATAATATCATATATATATATATATATATATATATATATTGTTTTTGGTTGTTAACGGTTAAACCATCTAAAACCGTTTAGGTTTTAATTATGCGTTCTAGCGTTTTTTGAAATAAAAAGTAGTTAATGATCATTTTTTCTTAATTACTAGCTAAATTCTTGTTAGTAACATTTGTGAATAATAACTCGTTAAATATCAAATATGTACAATTTTCTAATTACATTGGTTCAACTGATGAAATTTTTAAAATTTGATTAGCTTCCGAATGGTTTCAAATAAAGCAAAAGTGACATTGAAGAAAATTTGTAAACCGAAATCAAAATGTGGACTTGATTTACAGAATACCATGGTCTATGTGTTTTTTTTTTCGGCTCGTCCGGTGTAACCCATACAATTCGGGTCGATTGAGTAAATCAATATCACTTGTTATCCTTGAGATAGGTAACTGACATTATAGGTTCGAGAAAAATCGCAAATTTTGGACATGTCTCTTGGAGCATCAGTCAATGATTGGAGAATTCACGGTACACTGTCTAGGCAACTTTGAATAATGCTTGTTGGGAAGAGAGTCTCAATATCTAATCTCACATAATTACAACTTCCTCACAATACATAACCTTGTAGAAGTGTATGTGTACAAGGTCAAATACTATATAGTATATTTACTATGAATAGTAAATAAAATCCTTAATTGTACCCACCAACTGTCCAGCTATACATATCTTTCCCTCTTTTTTTGACAGCAGCTATATTTTCTTTCTCTAATTTAAACCTTTCTGTTACTTCATTCAATTCACAATTAACTCAAAAACTCGTACAAAAATTATGAGATCTCACTACCGTTGAAAAAAATGACTCTTTTCATTTTTAAAATAACAGATCGGGAATTTTTTTGAAAAAAAATTGGGCAATAAATTAAGGCCATTAATACGTGGCCGAAAGCAACTAAATTTACTAACCAATGCACACATCTACTTCTTCTTCTTCTTCTTCTTCTTCTTCCAACTTCACTCAGATTCAAAATTCAATTCTAACAGTTTCACATCTTCCTCTGTTTCTCTCTCTCTCTCTCTTCTCTAAAAACCATAACTTTGATGGCATTATTGTGATTTTTTTCGTAAAGTAAGCTCCTTTTTCTTAAACTTTCGCCGGAGAATATGGGAGGCTGTACTTCCAAACCCTCTACCTCTTCCGGTAGACCGAACCCTTTCGCTCCCGGTAACGAATATCCCCAAATTGACGATTTTGCCACTACCCATCCCGGTAAATCACCACTTCCCGCCCCTTCCGCCGCAAAGGCCTCTCCTTTCTTTCCCTTTTACACGCCCAGCCCTGCTCGCCACCGCCGCAATAGGAGTCGTGATGTCGGCGACGGTGGAGAGAGAGGAGAGAGCAAGAGCCAGACCAGCACGCCGCTCCGTCAATTACGCCGTGCGTTTCACCCTCCGTCTCCGGCGAAACACATAAGGGCGGCGATACGGCGGAGGAGAGGGAGAAAGGAGGCTGCTTTATCGACGTCCCAGCAGGCGACGAAGAATCCGACGCAGGAGGAGGAAGAGGAGGTTGGGCTTGACAAAAGATTTGGGTTTTCTAAGGATTTTCACAACAGAGTAGAATTAGGGGAAGAGATTGGTCGAGGACATTTTGGGTACACTTGCTCTGCTAAATTTAAGAAAGGAGAGCTCAAAGGTCAAGTGGTTGCTGTTAAGATCATCCCAAAATCTAAGGTCAAAGAACTTGACATTTTACTCTTTTTCGAAATCCTCATTTAGCTTTAGTTTATTGCTCTTTATTAGATTGCATATACTTTGTTATAGTGTCAGTTGATAAAAATAGAATGTGTTGATTCTTTCTTGGCAGATGACAACTGCAATTGCTATAGAAGATGTGAGAAGGGAAGTGAAGATTCTACAGGCTCTATCTGGACATAAGAATCTGGTTCAATTCTATGATGCATTTGAGGACAGTGCAAACGTCTACATTGCAATGGAGTAAGACAATTATGTTATTGTAATATATCATCATTTTGTTCCTTGTTCGATGTAGGATTTAGTTTCGAATTTGGTAAAGAGAACATATTGTTGCATTATGGGATTTAAGTAGTTTGTATTTGCAGGCTATGTGAAGGTGGTGAACTTCTTGACAGAATACTAGCAAGGTGTGTGCTACTAAAAACGTATTTGATACTTATGCTTAAGATTGTGCTGATTTATATGGGGAGTTTCATCTTTGCTTTTTTTTTTAATAGGGGAGGGAAATACTCAGAGAATGATGCAAAACCAGTGATTATACAAATCCTAAATGTGGTAGCTTTCTGTCATCTCCAAGGAGTTGTTCATCGAGATCTTAAACCAGAGGTGAGGCACAATTTTCTTTGAACTGGAAACAAGATTATCTCCTACTTTATGTGCAGAATGTTTTGTTGATTACTGCTTTATCATCAGAACTTCTTGTACACTACCAAGGAGGAGAATTCTCAGCTTAAAGCCATAGACTTTGGCTTATCAGACTTTGTCAGACCAGGTTCAATATCACACATTTTACTCTCTCACTGTTTCTTTGATTCTTTTTTCTTATGGTTACTAAACTAAAAAAATGGTCTTTTCTGCCCTTTATTTTGAAAGATGAAAGATTGAACGATATAGTGGGAAGTGCATACTACGTAGCTCCTGAAGTTCTACACAGATCATATACAACAGAAGCGGATGTATGGAGCATTGGAGTCATAGCATACATTCTACTATGTGGTAGCCGTCCGTTTTGGGCAAGAACCGAATCTGGAATTTTCAGAGCAGTTCTTAAAGCTGACCCGAGTTTCGATGAACCTCCTTGGCCCTTCTTGTCTTTTGAGGCTAAAGACTTTGTTAAGCGGTTATTGTTTAAGGATCCCCGGAGAAGAATGTCAGCCTCCCAAGCCTTGAGTCAGTTATTTTTAAATTCACAGCTCTTTATAGATTTATGTCTTCTGTCTTTTGGTAATCATAAATCACCAAATCCAGTTCCATATTACTTTTTTCAGTGCATCCTTGGATCCGAGGATATAATACGGACATGAATATCCCTTTCGATATCTTGATCTTTAGACAGATGAAGGCGTACTTGCGATCTTCTCCATTGCGCAAAGCTGCTTTGAGGGTATGTTTTAAGCTCTTTTTGAAAGTGTTGAAAAGAACACTGAAGACTATTTCCTCACTATTATGTGATTTCTTTTAACAGGCTCTGTCTAAGACTTTAATCAAAGATGAAGTTCTGTACCTGAAAACTCAATTTTCTCTCCTTGCACCAAACAAAGATGGCCTAATCACAATGGATAGCATTAGACTGGTTTGTGACACTGCAACTCATGTTCCTGTTTAAGACATAAAGAAACACCGTAATAACTAAATCCCCGTTGTGATTTTGTTTTTTTCGGACAGGCACTTGCAAGCAATGCCACAGACGCAATGAAGGAATCTCGGATCCCAGAGTTTCTTGCTTTGGTAATATACATCTCTGTGTTTTCTTGCATTTTGATAAATGCTTTTACCAGTTTGGTGTTAATGCCCTTTCAATGACTGGCTCTTATACAGCTAAATGGACTTCAATACAGAGGAATGGATTTTGAAGAGTTTTATGCAGCTGCAATTAACGTCCATCAGCACGAGTCGCTTGATTGTTGGGAACAGAGCATTCGACATGCTTACGAGCTTTTCGACAAGAATGGAAACCGAGCTATTGTCATTGAAGAACTTGCCTCTGTAAGTCTTAAGTTTGACACTCAGCTTATAATAAACAGTGTCTTTAAACCAAAAGACATATCCTCCTTATAGCTGACATGTTCTGAATTCACAGGAACTTGGTGTTGGACCAGCTATAACCGTACATTCAGTTCTAAACGACTGGATCAGACACACAGATGGGAAACTGAGCTTCTTCGGGTTTGTCAAACTGTTACATGGAGTCTCTGTTCGACCCTCGGTGAAAACCACACGGTGAAGATATAGTGAAACAAACGTGAAATCGATAAAAAAAGAAGATGTCAAAAACTTTACTCTGATTCTTGGATTGGAATTGGAAATGTAATAGTTTTAGTTCAGGACTGTAAAAGGACAAGAGCACTTCTCCGAATATTGTTGTAATAATAATATACAGTAACCACAGTGACTTTCATTTTCTATGTGAAGTCGAGCAAAAGTTATAAAAAAAAAACAGAGGATTCACAAATATTTCAATTTTGATAGCTTGGTTACTTCCGGTTTGCAACTGTCTTTAATTTGTGAGACTCTGAGTCGGCTTCACCAATACAAACCGGTTCAAGAGATACAAAAAAATTAGATTTTTTCCCATTCGCTTCTCTTCTTCTCCTCTTTGAGTTTTCTTCGATTCGAGTTTAAGGAATTAGGGTTTCTAATCATTCTCTATCTCTCTCTTCTCTCACTCGAGGATTTGTTTCATCAGTTGGGTTCTGGATCCTGATAAAAATTTGTCCTTTTGATTCCGGCAACTTCGTTTTGTGAATTTAAAGCTTGGATTCAATCTTCATCTCCCTGATCGACAGCCATGACTGAGGTAAATCAAAATTCGCATCTTTTCTCTCTACTTTATGTACAATTCCCTTCGAATTACGAAATCCTTTTATAAAAACTGTTCAAATTATCAATCTTTTTCGAAACCCTTGTTCTTCGCTAGATGTCTCTTGCTTCGTAATTGAATTTGATCTTGAGTTTGGTTTTTTTGATCTTTTTGGTGTTTGGCAGTACTGGGTTAGCCAAGGGAACAAATGGTGCGATTTCTGTAAGATCTGGATACAGAACAATCCAACAAGTATTAGAAACCATGAGCTTGGTAAGCGTCATAAAGAATGCGTCGATAAGAAGCTCACTGATATGCGTGAGAAGAGTGCAGCCAAAGACAAGGAGCTCAAGAAAAACGAAAAATTGCTTCAACAGATCGAAGCTGTGAGTAATCGATATATCAAACACTCAATTCTTGTTTCTTTGCCCATGATAATTATGTAACGTTTGTTTCTAATTCCAATGTTTTTCTTTGACTTATTTCAGAAAGCAACTCGTAGCTATCAGCAAGATATAGCAACTGCTCAGCAAGTAGCAAAAGCAAACGGTGCACCAGAGGATGGTACAGCCGGTATGTATCTCTCTATGATTCTTATGATTGCTTTTTATTATTTATTTGATGTCATTAGTAAGTTTGTTGTTCAACATAGCTGTTATGTTCAGGGTTGTTGCTTAGCTTTGGATCTGTTTGTTAGAGACTAACATACTGAGGTCGTAGAGGAAAATGAGCTGCCTTTTCTTAAAAATGTCTGTGTAATCCATGAAAATGGATTTGTGAATTGCCAACTTTTGACCAAAAGTATGAACAAACCAGGCAGTGTTCTGATTCTTCCATTTGTCATGTTACCCATCTTTGCAAAAGACTTTTTGACTTATAAGTTTTAATGCCTATAAATCTATAGAGAATCATCACCAGAGAGCAAAACGGTTCCCTCTTTTGAGTCACTCTCAGGTTCTTTCATCATTTTGATTGGCATATTTCCTATAGCCTTTCATTCATAGATATGTTTTTCTTCGTTTCGTGTTGTAATTATATTGTTATGGCAGGTTGGATGCTTGACAGTGCTTCGGGCTATTATTACAACCAGACCAATGGTCTGCACTATGATTCAAAGTCTGGATTCTATTACAGTGATTCAATAGGTATGTGATGGTAATAGAGCTGCTTTCTACTTGCTTTCAGATATAATCCTATATGGGTTTTTGTATGTTTGCTCACACGTCTAATGACACAGGCCATTGGGTGACACAAGACGAGGCATACGCTGCGGTTAAAACTTCATCTGATAAAGGAACTAAAGTACCTTTGGTTAAAAAGCCTATGGTACCTTCTTCAGAAGCTGGAACAAGTGTGGTGAAACCACCTGGCCGCCTTGTCTCAGCTTCATTAAACCCTAAAAGAGCTGTGAAAGGAGCTCCCTCATCTGTGGATCTGGGCAACAACAAGAGAAAGAGACAAGATGAGAAACCAAAGAAAGTATCCGCAGAAGAGAAAGCTGCATTGAAGGCGAGAGAAGCTGCTAGGAAACGAGTTGAAGAGAGAGAAAAGCCATTGCTCGGTCTTTACAATAGACCTTTTTGATGCATCACTCTGTAGAAGGGAGGCTAAGCTGAGAAGAGATATGATTGATCACATTGCGGTGGTTATTTCGGTTATTCCTACATAACGTTTATTCCAAGACTCTCTGGTAACTCCCGGAGGGATTTGTCTTGTGTTCTTCTAACTGTTGTTCCAAACAAATCAATTTCCTCTTTGTTGTACAAATAGATTCAATTTTTTTGTCAGAGTGATGGAGTGGAAATCCCCACCTTTTACCAGAATGTTGATGAAAGACACAAAAGTTCTGACATTCTGAGACACTTCACAAAATTACATTAATTAAGCCTATCTTGTAAGGTTTTTACAAGAAGGTCGAAAACTTTTTGGATTCATCACTTCCTTATAAAATCAGAAGTTTTTCAAGATGTGAATAAATCGACTCTAAAAAGTAAGAAGAGAAGTGAAGAAAACTAAGGCACAGCAAACTAGTAATTGATCCAAACGATTTGGGAAATTACTTATTGTGGACCAAACTCTGCCTTTGAGGAAGTCTTCGTAACAGACCAGATAATAAACTTAAAAAAAACACTGAAGATAAAATTCAAGTTTTAGACAACCCCAAAATTTTGACAGAGACTGAGACAGCAAGATAAGCAAGATTCAAATCCAGGATACAAAACCCTCTTTGGACTAGAGGTTTTAGTTTCGATGGTGCGAGCTAACCTCTGAACCAACAACTATCATCGGATCACTTTGATCATCCAATGGCTTGTTTTTTTTAACCCAATTCCCGAAAGTCCAGGACTAACGGGTTTTTTGATGACAGAGACATACCAACACTTTCAAGAAGCCCCCGGGACAGCAGCCGCTGCAGTAGCGTACATGTTTGAGTCCTGATTAGCATATCCATTGTTGTAACCTTGTCCCCTTGAGTATCCTCCGTTCCATTGGTTGCCAGAGTCACCTCTCCACTGTAGAAGTTAAACAATTTTAGTGAAATAGAATAAACATATGGCAGATCATCACAGTTAAAACCTACCAAGTTGGTTAATCATCCATGCCACAGACTCAATGATGAATGCAAAAATATAGTTGATTGAGCAAACGTAACATTAAGTGTAGGGGCACTAAGAGACTAGGACACTCTTGAGGAGATTAGTTCACTTGTCCACTGATTACAACAAGTAATAGACTCAAGACAAACATGAAACCAAGACAAACTCTCAAAAAGAAACAATAACATCGGTTCGAAAAGGCTGCAACTAGCTCATTAATCTTGAGTAGCTGTCAATTTCTCTAGTTAGAAGAAACACTGAACCATCACTATTGTTACAGTAACTGGATAATGTTCTGTGATATGCATTAGATTTGCCAATCAAAATAGTCAACAAAAACCGTGAGAAGGTGCTTAATTCCACTAGGTCTTTATGGCCCGCAATGCACCAACTACTACTATCCATTGTCAACTACTGACTCTTGGCCTTAAGGATTCCTATTACTTTATCCATTCCATGGAGAGAGAAAAATCTAAAGACCCAAAAGAACTCTGAAACTAAGTTGACCTGGACCATACGAATAGAAATGCATACAAGGTTTCATTGATATAGAACACGCTATCCAAGTTAATTTTTCTTGTACCTGTTTGTTAGGGCTTCGTCCCCAAGAAAGCCGGACAGTGTTTTTCCCGATGACCGTCCCATTCAAGTTCCCAATGGCCTCTTCAGCACTTTGCCTGTCAAAACCAATGGCACATCACACATTGCAACTACATACCCATCTTCACTCTCTTAAATAAGCATCCAAGGGATTGCTCATCATGATTGAACAAAGTCCCACGCTACTCGATGAGTAAGCTGACAAGCAAAGAACAAGTTAGTACCTGTTAGCAAACTGGACAAAGCCGCATCCTTTTCCTACTGGGATCTTCACTGAAATAACCTCCCCAAACTGGGAAAAAGGTTGCATGAGGTCTTCTTCAGTAACATCAGCATCAAGACCGCCAACAAATATCTACAATGTGGTAAAAGACAATGAGGAGTTAGGTATACAATTGTTAGCAGAGGAATAGATAAGAGAACTCACTGTTGAATTATTTGATTCCCCATCAGACAGTGAACCATTTCCTCCATGTCCACCAGCCAGTGTCAGAGCTAATCCAATGAAAACATTACAATTCACTTTAGATGCTATGTAGAAAGCATCAAGACAAGATATTAAAACTTAAAAGCTGATTGGTCAACCCAGTGAATGCTTCATACAAATAACTACTAAAAGAGACATAAACAGAAATAAATCCATTTGCATTTACTAAGCAGAGAGAAAACATGGAAATAAAAAGGAACATGTGCTACTAAAACATGAAACAATGAAACAAATAAAGAATAAAATAAAACTTATGCTACATTAAGTGACAAAGATTATAGCAGTACTTACCTTGTGAACCATTTTGTTGACCATAAGCAGCAGCCCTTTTAGGAGTAGCAATACCAACACGCATTTGCCTACTTGAACAGAAAGCACCATTCATTTCTGTCATAGCTCTTGACCGCTCATTCTCGTCAGCAAACCTGACAAACCCGTAACCTTTGGACCGCCCGGTGTTGGAATCGATCACAACTTTGGCACCTTTGACAGACGGATATCTACCAGCAAAAGTCTCAAGCAAGACAGCATCACTCACATCTGGAGCCAAATCTCCAACAAAGATCGATAGGTCCGGACCATTTTCTGATGCTCTCTTCTCACCAGTACTGAAAGATGCCCAGTTTAAACGGAAAGGCTGATCTGCGTTCGGCATGGTTACACCACTAAAGCTCTGAAGAGCTTCCTCAGCTGCAGAACGTGTAAGAAACTCAACAAACCCATACCCTTCAGATTGACAAGTTTGCTTGTTGCGAATAACTTTCACAGAAGAAACCTAAACATCACAAAACAACAAAAACAAAAAAGAATAAGCTCAAAGGGAAATAAAAACAGAACACATCTTTGTTAACATGTTTGGAGTTTCTTGTTGTTCCTATAACAAGTAAGGTTCTCTAAACGTGGCAATGTACTTTTTCTTACCAAATG